TCAGCCGCCACCCCCCCCGTGCCAAGTCCCATTACCCGACCGGCATATCACATGTGCAGGGCGCAACGGTGTCACGCTGTGCTGCACCTGGTATGCCTTGGCGAACGTAGTCACACAGGGGAGGAACTGCTGAGTGTAATGAACAGAGAAATCGACAGATGGCTGTCTCCGCGCAAACTAAAAATCGGAACCATGTTGACTGACAACGGAAGAACATGGTGTCTGCTCTGCGTCAAGGAAGGTTGTGCCATGCGCCATGCATGGCTCACGTGTTCAATCTGGTTGTCAAGCGGTTCCTAAAATCCACCATCCCACTGCAAGACATCCTTAAAATGTCACGTAAACTGTGCATGCATTTCAGCCATTCCTACACCGCAAAGAACACCCTCATTGAGCTGCAGCGGCAGAACGGAATTCCACAGCATCGCCTGATCTGCGACGTTGCAACAAGGTGGAATTCAACCCTACACATGTTAGACCGCCTTTACGAGCAGCGAAAGGCCATCACCGATTTCCTGATGTTACAAGCGGATAAAGGTACTCCCCTGTGTAACTTAGATGTCAGCCATTGGCAGCTCATGCGTGACACCTGCCGCTTGCTCAGGCCCTTTGAGGAGGCCACGCTATTCGTGAGTCGGCAGGACTATGGGATGAACGACGTCATTCCTCTGTTGCACGTCCTGGAACAAATGCTGTTAACAATGGCTGGTCAGGGTGCGTAGACGTGGCGCACAGATCTCAACGCCACATGACCCCTGTGGGGCAGGACAGGAAGAAGAGAGGAGGGTAGTAGAGGAGGACATTTGTGCTCAGGAATTATTGAGTGAAATGGGTGGTTTTTCCACTCAGCGGACAGGAGTGGAGGAGCAGGAGCATCTGGTAGAGAGAGGAGGAGAGAGACAGAGGACCCAGACGCACCGTGGCAGTATGCTGTGGAGATGGAGGCAGGGAGTCCCTCGCATTCCTTGGCACAAATGGCCCATAGCATGCTCGGTTGCTTGCGTAGCGAGCGACAGCCGAATAATAACCATCAGACAGAGGGATGACTTTTGGCTGTCCACCTTGTTGGACCCTCGCTACCGGTCCAAAATGGTGGCCTTTTTCACACCTGCTGAGAGGGAGGCCAAAATTACGTACTATAAAAACCACCTATGTAGTCAGTTGGTCTCTGCCTTTGTGCGCCAACGTCCATCCTCAGACACTGTGGGCCCTGTGCGCTCGCGTTCCGCTGGCATGGCAGCAGGGGAGGGGGGGGGGGGTAGGAGCAGTGGCAGCTCCACCAGCAGCGGCTGCCTCAGTCTGCAGTCGATGATGAGTAGCTTTCTTCACCAGCGCAGTGAGGAAACTACTAACCAGCCGCAGCAGCAGCAGCAGCATCAGGTGGACCTGGAGCAGGAGCTCAAACAACAGGCTTGGGCCTACTTGGACAGCACCCTGCCAACCGAGGTAGACAATCCCCTTGACTACTGGGCAACGAAACTTGACCTTTGGCCCCAACTAGCTGAATTTGCCCTTGAAAGGCTGTCATGCCCGGCCAGTAGCGTGGCATCGGAGCGCGTGTTTAGTGCGGCAGGAGGTATTGTAACTCCGCGGAGGACACGACTGTCCACCCAAAGTGTGGAGAGACTCACGTTTGTGAAAATGAATCAGGCGTGGATTAGTCTGGATTTCAAACCACCAGTTCCTGACACAACTGACTAAATCCGCCATGAATCATGCCTCAAACATGTGCCACTTTTCAGGTCTCCTCACACTGCTGGTGTGTTTTAATTTTTTGACATAGGGTGCTGGCAGATTACGGGCCTCCTATAGCTGCTGCCAGGCCCCTAATCTGCCATAGGCCCCTATATACCGCCTCCTCATGCTGCTGCTGCCAGAGTCTCTCCAGAGTCTCTCATGGGTCCCTGTACGGCCTCCCATTGCTGCTGTCTCCATCGCCACACTCTGCTGCCATGTGCCACTTTCAGGTCTCTTCACACTGCTGGTCAGGTCTCTTCACACTGCTGGTGTGTTAAATTTTTTGACATAGGGTGCAGGCAGATTACGGGCCTCACATAGCTGCTGCCAGGCCCCTAATCTGCCATGGGCCCCTATATACCGCCTCCTCATGCTGCTGCCAAGTCCAGAGTCTCTCATGGGTCCCTGTACGGCCTCCCATTGCTGCTGTCTCCATCATCGCCACACTCTGCTGCCATGTGCCACTTTCAGGTCTCTTCACACTGCTGGTGTGTTTAAATTTTTTGACATAGGGTGCAGGCAGATTACGGGCCTCACATAGCTGCTGCCAGGCCCCTAATCTGCCATGGGCCCCTATATACCGCCTCCTCATGCTGCTGCCAAGTCCAGAGTCTCTCATGGGTCCCTGTACGGGCCCCATTGCCCATTGCTGCTGTCTCCATCGCCACACTCTGCTGCCATGTGCCACTTTCAGGTCTCTTCACACTGCTGGTGTGTTAAATTTTTTGACATAGGGTGCAGGCAGATTACGGGCCTCACATAGCTGCTGCCAGGCCCCTAATCTGCCATGGGCCCCTATATACCGCCTCCTCATGCTGCTGCCAAGTCCAGAGTCTCTCATGGGTCCCTGTACGGCCTCCCATTGCTGCTGTCTCCATCGCCACACTCTGCTGCCATGTGCCACTTTCAGGTCTCTTCACACTGCTGGTGTGTTAAATTTTTTTTTGACATAGGGTGCAGGCAGATTACGGGCCTCACATAGCTGCTGCCAGGCCCTAATAATCTGCCATGGGCCCCTATATACCGCCTCCTCATGCTGCTGCTGCCCAAGTCCAGAGTCTCTCATGGGTCCCTGTACGGCCTCCCATTGCTGCTGTCTCCATCGCCACACTCTGCTGCCATGTGCCACTTTCAGGTCTCTTCACACTGCTGGTGTGTTTAAATTTTTTGACATAGGGTGCAGGCAGATTACGGGGCCTCACATAGCTGCTGCCAGGCCCCTAATCTGCCATGGGCCCCTATATACCGCCTCCTCATGCTGCTGCCAAGTCCAGAGTCTCTCATGGGTCCCTGTACGGCCTCCCATTGCTGCTGTCTCTCCATCGCCACACTCTGCTGCCATGTGCCACTTTCAGGTCTCTTCACACACTGCTGGTGTGTTTAAATTTTTTGACATAGGGTGCAGGCAGATTACGGGCCTCACATAGCTGCTGCCAGGCCCCTAATCTGCCATGGGCCCCTATATACCGCCTCCTCATGCTGCTGCCAAGTCCAGAGAGTCTCTCATGGGTCCCTGTACGGCCTCCCATTGCTGCTGTCTCCATCGCCACACTCTGCTGCCATGTGCCACTTTCAGGTCTCTTCACACTGCTGGTGTGTTTAATTTTTTGACATAGGGTGCAGGCAGATTACGGGCCTCACATAGCTGCTGCCAGGCCCCTAATCTGCCATGGGCCCCTATATACCGCCTCCTCATGCTGCTGCCAAGTCCAGAGTCTCTCATGGGTCCCTGTACGGCCTCCCATTGCTGCTGTCTCCATCGCCACACTCTGCTGCCATGTGCCACTTTCAGGTCTCTTCACACTGCTGGTGTGTTAAATTTTTTGACATAGGGTGCAGGCAGATTACGGGCCTCACATAGCTGCTGCCAGGCCCCTAATCTGCCATGGGCCCCTATATACCGCCTCCTCATGCTGCTGCCAAGTCCAGAGTCTCTCATGGGTCCCTGTACGGCCTCCCATTGCTGCTGTCTCCATCGCCACACTCTGCTGCCATGTGCCACTTTCAGGTCTCTTCACACTGCTGGTGTGTTAAATTTTTTGACATAGGGTGCAGGCAGATTACGGGCCTCACATAGCTGCTGCCAGGCCCCTAATCTGCCATGGGCCCCTATATACCGCGCCTCCTCATGCTGCTGCCAAGTCCAGAGTCTCTCATGGGTCCCTGTACGGCCTCCCATTGCTGCTGTCTCCATCGCCACACACTCTGCTGCCATGTGCCACTTTCAGGTCTCTTCACACTGCTGCTGGTGTGTTAAATTTTTTGACATAGGGTGCAGGCAGATTACGGGCCTCACATAGCTGCTGCCAGGCCCCTAATCTGCCATGGGCCCCTATATACCGCCTCCTCATGCTGCTGCCAAGTCCAGAGTCTCTCATGGGTCCCTGTACGGCCTCCCATTGCTGCTGTCTCCATCGCCACACTCTGCTGCCATGTGCCACTTTCAGGTCTCTTCACACTGCTGGTGTGTTTAAATTTTTGACATAGGGTGCAGGCAGATTACGGGCCTCACATAGCTGCTGCCAGGCCCCTAATCTGCCATGGGCCCCTATATACCGCCTCCTCATGCTGCTGCCAAGTCCAGAGTCTCTCATGGGTCCCTGTACGGCCTCCCATTGCTGCTGTCTCCATCGCCACACTCTGCTGCCATGTGCCACTTTCAGGTCTCTTCACACTGCTGGTGTGTTTAATTTTTTGACATAGGGTGCAGGCAGATTACGGGCCTCACATAGCTGCTGCCAGGCCCCTAATCTGCCATGGGCCCCTATATACCGCCTCCTCATGCTGCTGCCAAGTCCAGAGTCTCTCATGGGTCCCTGTACGGCCTCCCATTGCTGCTGTCTCCATCGCCACACTCTGCTGCCATGTGCCACTTTCAGGTCTCTTCACACTGCTGGTGTGTTAATTTTTGACATAGGGTGCTGGCAGATTACGGGCCTCCCATTGCTGCTGCCAGACATGTAATCTGCCATGGGCCCCCGTACCGACTCCTCATGCTGTGACGTTGCAACAAGGTGTAATTCAACCCTACATATGTTAGACCGCCTTTACGAACAGCTAAAGGCCATCACAGATTTCCTGATGTTAAAAGCGGATAAAGGTACTCCCTGTGTAACTTAGATGTCAGCCATTGTCAGCTCATGTGTGACACCTGCGCTTGCTCAGGCCCTTTTTGAGGAGGCCACGCTATTCGTGAGTCGGCAGGACTATGGGATGAATGAGGTCAAATCGGCCATGGGCCCCCGTACCGCCTGTTCACGCTGATGCTGGTCCCACAGTGTGACCTGGGTCCCTGTACGGCCTCCCATTGCTTCCACTCTGCCATGTGCCACTTTGAAATCTCCTCACACTCCTGCGGTTGTCCATTTTGTCATAGGTTGCTGGCAGATTAGCGGCCTTCCATAGGTGCCGCCCAGGCCCCATATCGACCATGGGCCCCCGTACCTCCTGGTCACGCTGCTGCTGAGCCCACAGTGTGACCTGGGTCCCTGTACGGCCTCCCATTGCTTCCACTCTGCCATGTGCCACTTTGAAATCTCCTCACACTCCTGCGGTTGTCCATTTTGTCATAGGTTGCTGGCAGATTACAGGCCTTCCATAGGTGCCACCAAGCCCCATATCGGCCATGGGCCCCCGTACCGCCTGGTCACGCTGCTGCTGGGCCCACAGTGTGACCTGGGTCCCTGTACCGCCTCCCATTGCTCCCACTCTGCCATGTGCCACTTTCAGGTCTCCTCACGCTCCTGCTGGTTTCCATTTTGTCATAGGTTGCTGTATGGCCTCCCATTGCTGCTGCCTCCACCGCCACACTGTGGCTCCAAACACTGGTTTTGGCCCCGTGACTGGCCAAAGGAGTGAAGTGTGCAGTGATTCTAAGATCGACGGCACTCATCTGCATGTCATACTGACAGACAGTATTATTTCTCTTCCCCAGCAGACTCCAAGGGCATTTAAATTAAAGGTACAGTGTTCTGCACTAATATTAAGTCTCTCTGAAGCCTAGAAACACCCTTTTTTAAGTTAAATTCACAGCGAATTTATTCGACTCGAATCGAATATTGTCCACGAATTCGCCGAATCAGTCGAATCTATCTCCCGTCTGATCGATGTTTATAAACAATGTTACTTTGTATCTCTCTATCCCCCGTCTGATCGATGTTTATAAACAATGTTACTTTGTATCTCTACCTCCCGTCTGATCGATGTTTATAAACAATGTTACTTTGTATCTCTCTATCTTCGTCTGAGCGATGTTTATAAACAATGTTACTTTGTATCTCTCTATCTTCGTCTGAGCGATGTTTATAAACAATGTTACTTTGTATCTCTCCATCTCCCATCTGATCCATGTTTATAAACAGTGTTACTTTGTATCTCTCCATCTCCCGTCTGATCGATGTTTATAAACAATGTTACTTTGTATCTCTCTATCTTCGTCTGAGCGATGTTTATAAACAATGTTACTTTGTATCTCTCCATCTCCCATCTGATCCATGTTTATAAACAATGTTACTTTGTATCTCTCCATCTCCCGTCTGATCGATGTTTATAAACAATGTTACTTTGTATCTCTCTATCTTCATCTGAGCGATGTTTATAAACAATGTTACTTTGTATCTCTCCATCTCCCATCTGATCCATGTTTATAAACAATGTTACTTTGTATCTCTCTATCTTTGTCTGAGCGATGTTTATAAACAATGTTACTTTGTATCTCTCTATCTTCGTCTGATCGATGTTTATAAACAATGTTACTTTGTATCTCTCTATCTCCCATCTGATCGATGTTTATAAACAATGTTACTTTGTATCTCTCTATCTCCCATCTGATCCATGTTTATAAACAATATTACTTTGTATCTCTCTGTCTCCCGTCTGATCGATGTTTATAAACAATGTTACTTTGTATCTCTATCTCCCGTCTGATCGATGTTTATAAACAATGTTACTTTGTATCTATCTCCGTCTGATCGATGTTTTTCATGTATCTCGATCAGATCTGATGGAGGTGAAGCTGTTCGTTGTATACATGTCATGGACACGTGAGGCGGGGGGGGGGGGGGGGGGGGGGGGGGGGGGGGGGTAGCACACCTGTCCATGATATTGTGAAGGAAGGGATGTGGATGTATCAGAGGAATCCTCCATATGAATGAATCACCCCAAGTCGATGCATTGTTGTAGTGGGGAATCCCCGGGCTCCCTGCGTTATGTAATGACACAGGTGGCTGCTCCTTTCAATCAAGGCTTCCATGACCAATGAAGCGACACGTTTGTTTGTTCAGCTTTGGTTGGAGCTGTTCACATACATGATGACACGCCAGGATGAGACATACACAGGGAGGGGTGATATAATAACCAGAGATAGTCAGGGGTCGGTGTCAGTCAATGGAAGACAAGTCCTGACTTCTATCCAAGGCAGCTGGTTGATTGGTGGCCACCATTGCTGGAGGCAAAGATGGACTTGGGTTCTCGTGGTTCAAGGCCAAGCGATCCAAACCTGGACCTGACCCACCAAGAAGATACTGATGACTGTCATTGAAACGGAGTGCAAGCTCCTTGTCCTCCTTTCTCTAGACAGGAGCAGTGACCACATACAATTCAATCACTATCGCAAAATAATTCTGTCCATTAGAATAAATTCGTTCTCAAACTCTAAGCGATTTCTACACATTTACATGCATTTAGGCGCATCCAGCCTTTATTTCTGGGCAAAAATCTTCTCTTCTAAATGTGCTTTTGATGTTTTTTTTCAGCCTCTAAATGCTCCTCTTCTCATACACACTGCAAACGCCTGTCTGTACATGGGCATAGACTACCATAGATCACCATAGACTACCATAGACCACTATAAACCACCATAGACTTCCATAGACCACCATAGACTCCCATAGACCACCATAGATCACCATAGACTACCATAGACCACCATAGACCACTATAGACCACCATAGACTTCCATAGACCACCATAGACTCCCATAGACTACCATAGATCACCATAGACTACCATAGACCACCATAGACTCCCATAGACCACCATAGACTCCCATAGACCACCATAGACTTCCATAGACCACCATAGACTCCCATAGACCACCATAGATCACCATAGACTACCATAGACCACCATAGACTCCCATAGACCACCATAGACTCCCATAGACCACCATAGACTCCCATAGACCACCATAGACTCCCATAGACCACCATAGATCACCATAGGCTACCATAGACCACCATAGACTCCCATAGACCACCATAGACTCCCATAGACCACCATAGACTACCATAGACCACCATAGCCTCCCATAGACCTCCATAGACCACCATATACTACCATAGACCACCATAGACCACCATAGACTCCCATAGACTACCACAGACCACCATAGAATACCACGGACCACCATAGACTACCATAGACCACCATAGACTACCATAGACCACCATAGACCACCATAGACCACCATAGACCCCCATAGGCCACCATAGACTACCATAGACCACCATAGACTCCCATAGACTCCCATAGACTACCATAGACCACCACAGACTCCCATAGGCCACCATAGACCACAGCAGACCACGATAGACTACATAGACCACCATAGATTACCATAGACCACCATAGACTCCCATAGGCTCCCATAGACTACCATGGACTCCCATAGACTACCATGGACTCCCATAGACTACCATAGACCACCATAGACTCCCATAGACTACCATAGACCACCATAGACTACCATAGACTACCATGGACTCCCATAGACCACCATAGACTCCCATAGACTACCATAGACCACCATCGACTACCATAGAGGTGCGTTTACAGGCTGAAAACAAAAGCCAAACGTCTGGAAAAGCAGCATTTTTGAAGTCCAGTGTGCATGAGGTCTAAATACACTATTTGCCCCAAGTATTGGGCCCCGGCCTTTCCACACACATGACCTTTAATGGCCTCCCTGTCTTAGTCCGTAGGGTTCAATATTGAGTTGGCCCCGCCCTTTCCACACACATGACCTTTAGTGGCCCCCCAGTCTTAGTCCGTAGGGTTCAATATTGAGTTGGCCCCGCCCTTTCCACACACATGACCTTTAATGGCCCCCCAGTCTTAGTCCGTAGGGTTCAATATTGAGTTGGCCCCGCCCTTTGCAGCTATAACAGCTTCAACTCTTCTGGGAATGCCGTCCACAAGGTTTAGAGGGTGTCTATGGGAAGGTTGGACCATTCTTCCAGAAGCACATTTGTCAGGTCAGGCACTGATGTCGGGGGAGGGGGCCTGATGTCGGGGGAGGAGGCCTGGCTCGCAGTCTGCGCTCTAATTCATCCCAAAGGTGTTCTATGGGGTTGAGGTCAGGACTCTGTGCAGGACAGTCAAGTTCCTCCACCCCAAACTGGCTCCTCCATGTCTTTATGGACCTTGCTTTGTGCACTGGGGGGCAGTCATGTTGGAACAGGAAGGGGCCATCCCCAAACTCCTCCCACAAAGTTGGGAGCATGAATTTGTCCAAAATGTCGCCTTAAGAGTTCCCTTCACTGGAACTAGGGGGCCAAGCCCAACCCCTGAAAAACAACCCACACCATAATCCCCCTCCACCAAACTTTACACTTGGCACAATGCAGTCAGGCAAGTACCGTTCTCCTGGCCACCGCCAAACCCAGACACGCTCATCGGATTGCCAGACAGAGAAGCGTGATTGGTCCCTCCAGAGAACACGCCTCCTCTGCTCTAGAGTCCAGTGGCGGCGTGCTTTACACCACGGCATCCGACGCTTTGCATTGCACTTGGTGATGGAAGGCTTGGATGCAGCTGCTCGGCCATGGAAACCCATTCCATGAAGCTCTCTACGCACTGTTGTTGGGCTCATCTGAAGGCCACACCAAGTTTGGAGGTCTTTAGCTATTGACTCTGCAGACAGTTGGTGACTTCTGCGCACTGTCTCCCGCTGACCCCGCCCTGTCATGTGACGTGGCCTACCACTTGGTGGCTGAGTGGCTGTTGTTCCCAGTTGCTTCCACTTTGTTATAATCCCACTAACAGTTGAGCGTGGAATATTTAGTAGCCAGGAAATGTCACGGATGGACTTATTGCCCAGGTGGCCACCTATCACGGGACCACGCTTGGAGTCACGGAGCTCCTGAGAGCGACCCATTCTTTCACCAATGTTTGTAGAAGCCGTCTGCATGCCTAGGGGATGGATTGTATACACCTGTGTCCATGGAGGGGATTGGAGCACCTGAATCACATGATATGGAGGGGATTGGAACACCTGAATCACATGATATGGAGAGGATTGGAACACCTGAATCACATGATTGGGAGGGGATTGGAACACCTGAATCACATGATATGGAGGGGATTGGAACACCTGAGTCACATGATATGGAGGGGATTGGAACACCTGAATCACATGATTAGGAGGGGATTGGAACACCTGAATCACATGATATGGAGGGGATTGGAACACCTGAATCATGATTGGGAGGGGATTGGAACACCTGAATAACATGATTGGGAGGGGATTGGAACACCTGAATCACATGATATGGAGGGGATTGGAACACCTGAATCATGATTGGGAGGGGATTGGAACACCTGAATAACATGATTGGGAGGGGATTGGAACACCTGAATCACATGATATGGAGATTGGAACACCTGAATCACATGATATGGAGGGGATTGGAACACCTGAATCACATGATATGGAGGGGATTGGAACACCTGAATCACATGATTGGGAGGGGATTGGAACACCTGAATCACATGATATGGAGGGGATTGGAACACCTGAATCACATGATTGGGAGGGGATTGGAACACCTGAATCACATGATATGGAGGGGATTGGAACACCTGAATCACATGATTTGGAGGGGATTGGAACACCTGAATCACATGATTTGGAGGGGATTGGAACACCTGAATCACATGATATGGAGGGGATTGGAACACCTGAGTCACATGATATGGAGGGGATTGGAACACCTGAATCACATGATTGGGAGGGGATTGGAACACCTGAATCACATGATATGGAGGGGATTGGAACACCTGAATCACATGATTGGGAGGGGATTGGAACACCTGAATCACATGATATGGAGGGGATTGGAACACCTGAATCACATGATATGGAGGGGATTGGAACACCTGAATCACATGATATGGAGGGGATTGGAACACCTGAATCACATGATATGGGGGCGGGGGACTATACGTCTGACAATACAGTGTATCTTCCGGCACCGCAATGTCCTTCTATTTCTGATAATGGGTCGATTAGAAATATCGTACTCGGGACGAAGCAGCCAGCTGGTGCCCAGCACACAGATGTGTCGGATTGCCTGTGTATTGTGCTAAGAATATGCTCCTCGCCTCCTCCAATCTATTCTTGGAGTTCTGTGGCGAGCGTCAGCGATGACAGCTGCTCCCCTCCTGTAACTGACAGGTGTAATTACAGCGCGGGAAATCATAATTCTGGTCTGTCCTCCCAGACACGGGGAGAACGCATTTTAATTTAGTCTGAAAGAAAACAATGATTTGCTGAAAATGAAGCAGGAAATTGCAGGGAGGTATTTATAGGACGCGGTTCAGACGCACGCCGCCGTGAAATGATGGGCCCTTCGGTGGTCGGCCGATAATTACATTCGACAATTAAATTCATCTTCATATAAAAGGAAACACGAGGAAGACGTAATTACAAAGTTTACTTGAATTGAAGTTTGAATGAATTCCGGAGAGTTGGTGGAACGTTTCTCCTGATGTCTTCATGTGAATGGGAAGACTTTGTCCTCTCTACCCCCATAGGACCAGATACTAATAAATGTCACCCCCCTCCCTAAACAGAGCCTTCCTTTCCTGTCACCCCCCATCCTGTCACAGGATACCAGAGCATCCACCTACCTACCAGTGATCAGGGGCTGACTGACAACTCATGGGGCCCCCGGGCAATAAGGGATCATGGGGCCCCTGTGTCCTCGCCCACACTCAAACCACACCCAAAAAAGCCAATGAAAGGTACTAGGGGCATCTCATGGGGCCCACCAATTTACCTTGGGCCCTTGGGTGGTGCCCGAGCACCTAAATGGTCAGTCCGACCCTGCCAGTGATAAATCCAGGTTCACCTACAGTGGGGATGGAAAGTTTGGGCACCCCAGCTAAAAATGTGTATTAATGTGCATAAAGAAGCCAAGGAAAGATGGAAAAATCTCCAAAAGGCATCAAATTCCAGATTAGACATTCTTATAATATGTCAACAAAAGTTAGATTTTATTTCCATCATTTACACTTTCAAAATAACAGAAAACAAAAAAAATGGCGTCTGCAAAAGTTTGGGCCCCCTGCAGAGTTTATAGCATGCACTGCCCCCTTTGCCAAGCTGAGACCTGCCAGTGTCATGGATTGTTCTCAATCATCGTCTGGGAAGACCAGGTGATGTCAATCTCAAAGGTTTTAAATGCCCCGACTCATCTGACCTTGCCCCAACAATCAGCACCATGGGTTCTTCTAAGCAGTTGTCTAGAAAACTGAAACTGAAAATAGTTGACGCTCACAAAGCTGGAGAAGGCTATAAGAAGATAGCAAAGCGTTTTCAGATGTCAATATCCTCTGTTCGGAATGTCATTAAGAAATGGCAGTCATCAGGAACAGTGGAAGTTAAAGCAAGATCTGGAAGACCAAGAAAAATATCAGACAGAACAGCTCGCAGGATTGTGAGAAAAACTATTCAAAACCCACGTTTGACGGCACGATCCCTCCAGAAAGATCTGGCAGACACTGGAGTTTGTGGTCACTATTCCACTATAAAGAGATACTTGTACAAATATGGTCTTCATGGAAGAGTCATCAGAAGAAAACCTCTTCTACGTCCTCACCACAAAAATCATCGTTTGAACTTTGCAAACGAACATATAGACAAGCCTGATGCATTTTGGAAACAAGTTCTGTGGACCGATGAGGTTAAAATGGAACTTTTTGGCCGGAATGAGCAAAGGTACGTTTGGAGATGAAGGGGCACAGAATTTAATGAAAAGAACCTCTGTCCAACTGTGAAGCATGGGGTTGGATCAATCATGCTTTGGGGTTGTGTTGCAGCCAGTGGCACAGGGAACATCTCACGAGTAGAAGGAAAAATGGATTCAATAAAATTTCAGCAAATTTTGGATGGTAACTTGATGCCATCTGTGAAAAAGCTGAAGTTAAAGAGAGGATGGCTTCTACAAATGGATAATGATCCTAAACACACCTCGAAATCCACGGGGGATTACATCAAGAGGTGTAAACTGAAGGTTTTGCCATGGCCTTCACAATCTCCTGACCTCAACATCACTGAAAATCTATGGATAGACCTTAAAAGAGCAGTGCGTGACAGACAGCCCAGAAATCTCAAAGAACTGGAAGACTTTTGTAAGGAAGAATGGGCAAAGATACCTCAAACAAGAACTGAAAGACTCTTGGCTGGCTACAAAAAGCGTTTACAAGCTGTGATACTTGCCAAAGGGGGCAGTACAAGATATTAATTCTGCAGGGGGCCCAAACTTTTGCAGACGCCATTTTTTTGTTTTCTGTTATTTTGAAAGTGTAAATGATGGAAATAAAATCTAACTTTTGTTGACATATTATAAGAATGTCTAATCTGTAATTTGATGCCTTTTGGAGATTTTTCCATCTTTCCTTGGCTTCTTTATGCACATTAATACACATTTTTAGCTGGGGTGCCCAAACTTTCCATCCCCACTGTACATTGCTGGAGGAGGTCCTCCTCATCTGATTCAACCATCCCGTGGATTTCTAAGTGTTTGCTACCACTTTTTATCTGGGTTCTGACCAGGGGCGGACTGACAACTCATGGGGCTCCTGGGCAATAGGGGATCATGGGGCCCCTGTGTCCTCATCTACACTCTAACCACACCCAAAAAAATTAATTTCACCTCATGTTGCTGCAGAATTTTCGTGGCTAAGAATTTTCTTTTCTTTCCAGGTCGCGGCTCATTTCTTCTTCTATTACATTTCTCGCACGATTCTCCCCGTCATTGATTGGGAATTAATTCATTGTTCAAGAACTTTCCAACATGCCAATCACTCAGATTTGATGGTCACTCGAAATCGGCCCACTAATGGTGCAAAATTTGAACGCAAATTGTTAGAAAAGATTTTCGAAAGAAGATTCTTTCGGAATTCGACCCGCGTATGGCCGGCTGAAGACCTGGACGTGGGGTTGGAGGCCTTGTCACTCCCAAATCTCTTTTGAAGCCTCTGAACCTCCAGAACCCAATCCAGAAACTACAAAGCCTGAAGAAAACTGAAAACTCGATTTTCTCCTTTCATAGCATCAATTCTGGAGCCCCTCAATCTGCCTCCTTGAGAACCCTTTGTGCCATTTCCCTCTTTTTTTTTGCAGTGGTCCAACCCCCACTCCAACTACAACTCCACCCCCCAACCCTAACCCCAACTCCAACCCCAATCCCAACCCTAACCCCAACTCCAACTCCAACCCCAATCCTAACCCCAACTCCAACCCTAACCCCAATCCCAACCCTAACCCCAACTCCAACTACAACTCCAACCCCAATCCCCCAACCCCAACTCCAACCCTAACCAACCCCAACTACAACTCCAAACCCAACCCTAACTCCAACCCTAACCCCAACCCTATCCCCAACCCTTACCCCAAACCCACCCCCAACTCCCCCCTAACTCCAAACCCAACCCTAAGCCCAACTCCAACCCCAACCCTAAGCCCAACTCCAACCCCAACCCTAACCCCAACTCCAACCCCAACTTTCAGAATTCGACCCGCGTATGGCCGGCTGAAGACCTGGATTTGGGGTTGGAGGCTTTGTCACTCCCAAGTCTCTTTTGAAGCCTCTGAACCTCCAGAACCCAATCCAGGAATTACAAAGCCTGGAGAAAACTGAAAACTTGATTTTCTCCTGTCATAGCATCCATTCTGGAGCCCCTCAATCTGCCTCCTTGAGAACCCTTTGTGCCATTTCCCTTTTTTTTTTTTTTGCAGTGGTCATGCCCAGCCCTACCACAGGGTGCGCTGTCTGTCAAACTCATCCATTGAAGTCTAGGGATGTGCAGGATAAGAGTTTGTTTGGTTTCAGATTTGTTCGTTCTGTTAGTCATTTTGTTTCGTCGTTTACACCATGTTAGAATGATTCGTTTTTGGAATTCTATTTGTATGTTCAGATTCGTTTTGTACATTCGTTATTTTCAAATCGATTCGAAAATTGGAATTCGCAGTTCAAAATTGGAATTTTGAAATTTGAATTTTGGAAGATGGCTATATTTGTTCTATTTCATTCTCTTCTTTTTTAATCTATTCTATTCTTTTATTTTCTGTTCCATTCTATTCTCTACTTTTATTTTGTATTCTATTTTTATTTTTATATTCCGATCTATTCTGTTTTATTCTATTCTTTTATTTTCCATTCTGTTCTATTCTTTTTATTTCTAGTCTATCCTTTTTTATTCTATTCTATTCCTTTAAGTTTTTTATTCTACTCATTCCTATTCTGTTCTATTTTATCATTTTATTTTCTAATTTATTCTATAAAGCAGCCTAAACCGGAATCGTCATCGCTTTTATACCTTACTGTATATATTGCAATATGTTTCCATTTCGAATTCGGATGATTTTTTTCATCGTAATTTATTTTGGATTCGTTGAAATTTGTTACTATTGTGCTTCAGAAATTTGTATACATCTGAATCTCCGAATAATGGAAATTGTATTTGAATTTCGATTTGTAACGCACCGAATGGCACGTCTGTTGAAGTCCATAGGACTGTGCCGAAATCACAAGCCCAACATTTGGCTCACAGTCGCAGCACATTGGCTCCAAACAAAATTCGAGATAATCGACATTCGGGTGGCGGCAGTATCGGGTTTAGGGTTAGGATTGTTCTTCAGAGGACCACCCGTGTCAATCCGGCTCAAAACTGAGAGATCAATTGTGCTACACGTCTGCAGCCTTCACCAACATAATCCCCGGAGATCCTGCCATGGAGGTCCTTGTTAGGACTTCCTGTCATAGGGTGACAACGCTCTGCTCCTGACACCCTATTGTTCTTTTGTGATGTCACACGTGCTACCAATACAGACTTATGCAGGCCATAGACGGGCCGAAAAATCAGCCGATTTTCGCACTGTTAGTGGGTTAATTGGTCGGCCCCCC